AGACAAACATCCGTGACACACACATCTTTAAAAGTTATGCAATGGTGGGGTTATGTAACGTCTGTCAAAGTTGAGAGGGAGAAAAAGGACCTTCCAAGGCACAGCTGTGGAACCCAGAAAACTCTCCATTTTTACCAAAAAGAAGACGAAGAAGGGGCCAAAGCACACTTTGGGTAACATAAGAAGAGCCTGTCTATTCCAGTTTTTCTCCATTTCTCTTTTTTTTATATAAGTTTTTTTTGTTAAAATAGTTAATCATTAATACACATATACAAGCATACAAACATACAATCCTTAGAAGTGTTCAAACATACTTACACTCAATCCCACAAATAATTCCTTTCCCCATCACCATCCACCACATCTTCGTCAAGAAGACGAAGAAGGGGCCAAAGCACACTTTGGGTAACATAAGAAGAGCCTGTCTATTCCAGTTTTTCTCCATTTCTCATTATTCCAGTCTTAAGGTCATGACACCACATTTCCACATCCATTCTCTAAAAACTTTTTAGCGATTTATTTATTTATTTGATTGTGCTGTATCTAAATCTGGCCAAATAAATAAAGATGAAGAACACAAGAGGCCACAGAGGAAAAATGACTGAACAAAGGGGTGATCAGAAGATTCTGCCCTTTGTAGCACATCCATATCACTCATTGGTCTAAAGTTTATGGATGCTTGAATAATCTATTCATACAATCCTATGTATGCTTATACAAAAGTACATCTCACTGAGTTGAGTGAGAGATACTCCCGATGTACATTTTTATTTATGTTATTTTTTAAAATTTTCATTCCAACCTACCTCCCAAAAGAGTCCAGGTTGGTAGAGGGTTCCTGCCTATGTGCATAGGGTTACAGGCCAAGATTCACAAACCAAATGCAAAGTTTCAGCTATGTAATAACCATATCCCCGTTTTATATTTTAAAAAAACACAGAAAAACAATCAAGTGACATTTCCTTCCATACTAAGTCAGTATGTAAGACTGAGACACTGAATTGTCTGCTGTTCTGACTAGAAGCTTGCCTCTCAGATCTCAGAAAGAAGCCCTTTCCAGATCTGCTACCCAAGGTCTTTTTAGCTGGAGAGGCCTGTACTCTGTAGCAAAGGAACATGGTCTGCATGTCAAATGTCAGTGTTTCAGTTTCCAGCCTTTCCAGCTTAAAAGGCCAAGAGGCTTTAAAATTGTTGTTGTTTTTTTCTGCACAAAGAAATGTTGAATTCTGTGAGCTGCATATATTATGAGTATCGCTACACAGTTTGCATTGTTTATTTTGCTGCTACTCAGCATGGGAAGCAAAGAGCTATGCAGGTCACAAAAGTCTCCGCAACTGACCCCTCCTGACTCCAGAAGAAAATCCTGCTAATCTTTTGCAAGGATGTCTCTCTCACACTTTCTAAACCTCTCTATGAAGCCTTGGGGACTAGGAATTTGGAAGCAGGAAAGATGAGATTATCGCCAACCAGAATCAAACCACAGTTCAGAGCAGAGGTTTTCAACTTTTTTTTAGTCCCCAGCTCCCCTGACCAACTACATTCTTTCTGTGGCACCCATGTGGGGCTCTGGAGCCCAGTTATGTCCCTCCTTGCCTGCAGCACCAGCAGCCCCTCACCCCTTTTTGAGCACCCTCCCTTATGGAGTGTTCTCTCAACCTCCTCTCCCGTCTACTTGGGGGTCCTCCAGGCAGCTGCTGCTGCTGCCCCTGGTCTCTGAGCTGCCCCCCCCCAAAGAGAGGTGCCTCCCAGATGTGTCTGTGGAGCTAATAATCAGGGCTGTGGCAACAAACAGCTGTGCAAGCCTTTGAGAGGCTGAGATGCAAGATGAAATCAGAAGGAGAGGAAAGAGGCCCCTGTTGCCCGCGGCACCCCTGACCATCATACAAGGCACCCCAGGGTGTCACAGCAAACTGGTTGAAAACCACTGGTTTAGAGGATTGGGAATGCGCAGCAGCAAGCTTCTAGTTCACACATACTGTCTTCTCTTCTCTAACCATAGTTTGCCCACAAAACCAGTATCCCAAGCCACAGTTTGATCCTGCCCTGGAATCTGGGCTTGAAGGCACCTTTACAAAACCAAAGCTCGCCAAATTCAGACAAAACAGCAAATTTTCCCACAAGTCAGAAGCACAAACTTCTTATCTCCTACCACCGTTTCACTTATGACAGGTGGAAGGACCATGTAAGCACACAAGACTCCTTGTGGCTGATGATCTTGCAAACCATGATATGGAGAATCATCAAATGCAGCCTGTTTTGAGGGCGTTCTTGTGACTTTCATCTCCATTCCACAAAGTATCATTTGGACTTTAGTTCTCTTCACAAATGTCCTCCACAGCTAGGCAAATGCATGAAACATGCAGCAGGATAGCACCCTACCCCTGCCTTTGGGATTGAGCATCATCCTGACCCCATCCCCAACACATTTAAACTAACAGGGAACACATATGCATGAACAGCTGCACGTCATCATGCAGGGGTTTCATTTGCAACCTGAGTTGCAGACTTCTGCGTTCAACATGAAGATAAAGAGGGCAAAGAATACTGTTTTAATTAGAGCCAACAGGTGCAATCTTGCTCTTTCTCCATGTGTTAACCATCTGAATAGAGATTAGTTAGTGAACAGGACCATGGCTCCCTCATTTTCATGCGTTTCATGGTCATTACCCATTTTCATTTCTGATTCTGTGTCTCAGTCCAGATACTGACCTTCATGCCGGAATGGGGGGTGGGTGGGATTTTTACGGGATGTAGTTCAATGCATTTGTGGAAAATTGTGGCTTCTCAGAATATTGGAGAAGAATGGGGCAAAACTCCAAATCAACAGTTTTTGTTGGTTTGTTCTTTAGCCTGTGGCTGAAAGCCTCATGCAGACTCCACTGAAACCAATTACGGCTTTGGATTTGATGAGATAATGCCAAACTTTTGGCCAATGAGGTGCCATGAAAATTCAGAACCAGAGAAAGTACTTATTCACACAATGCACAGTTAAACTATGGAATTTGCTGAAGGTGATGGACTACATGGAATTGGCGGAAATGACTGGCAGAATCCGAGACCAGGGAGAAGAGTTGGTGGAAGAAGATTGGAAGAAATTTAAAGACTATCTACAGAAATATTGCAAAATTAATGAATGTTAGAATGATGTTAGAATGAAGTTAGGTGGTTTAAGCAGTAATGCTATAAAGGTGTATGTAAAAATGGATTGATAACAGGTGAAAATTTAAAGTTATAGTATATTAAGTTAAAGGATTAAGAGAAAATAAAGAGGGAAAGAAATTGCTGAACTAACTAATTGAATTGGAATACAAAAAAGGGAGGTATGAGGAGGTCAGGGAAACAAGGATATGAATGTAAGGCATGGAAAGGTTGATCTTTTTTTTTAAGTGTTTTTTATTCTTTTATTCTGTATTTTGTATTTTTTTTGTATTTTTACTTCTGTCTTTTGTTTTTGCTTTTCTTGTTTTTATGTAACTCTCTTTTCTGAAATTTTAATAAATATCATTTTTTTAAAAAAACAACTATGGAATTTGCTCCCACAATTGGTAGTGATGGCTTTAAAAGAGGACTGGGCAAATTCATGGAGGATAAAGCTATCAGTGGCTACTACATAGGATGGCTATGCTTTGCTTCCACAGTCAAAGGCAGCAGGCCTCTGAACGCTAGTTGCCAGAAACTGCAAGAGGGGAGAGTAATAAATAATAATAATAATAATAATAATAATAATAATAATAATAATTTTATTTGTATCCCATCCTCCCTGGCCGAGGCTGCACTCAGGCCCTGTCTACAGTCGACCGATGAGCATCTGGTTGGCCACTTTGAGAACAGAGTATTGGACTTGTCACGCCTGTGGCAGGATCCAGCAGAGCTCTTCTTAAGGTTCAAATACCACTATCATACAAATATATGGCAAAAAATAAAGAAATGAGTCCCCCAAATGCATATTTGGTTTAAAGGTGGGTTCTAGGCTGGAAAACATTGAAGACTACTGATTTAGGACACAAAGGTGTCCTAAAAAAACAAAAGAAAAACCTACTATTCTGGTTTCTGCACTTTTATAGCAAAATCTGCTAGCCTGTTCACTTTCATAGCGAGGGCAAGAAGAATGGGCAGCTCTCTACATGATGCATAAAGCATGTTGCTTCAGGAGCTTCTGCCACAAAGAAATAAAAAGGTACAATCCATGCTGACATTCTCCTGGGTAAGGCCATTGAAGGTGCACTTCTACACACTATTGTCCAATTCAATGGAAGCTTAGCTCCAGAACTGTCAAGTGGATTGTTTTCTAGTGGTTCTGTTCATCTGGATCTGCACCTGTTTCCCCTTTTCATAGTTTATTTTTTCTTCTATCCAAGGTCACTGCAACCACCCAATGTACAGCCACACCACAAAAAGTATGTAAGCTTGTAAGAATATGTTCTGTGTTTAAGTGATGATAAGGAGTATATTGGGGGAGGGTAAAATAACCACACAAGGCCATTTTTCACGCCACCCATCTGCTCTGCCTCCGATAAAATACCGTAAAGCTACATTCACGCAGGCTTAAAGTGCTAATGGGTTTGCTTGTTAACATGCTTCATAATGCTAATATTGTGCCTCTGATTCCAACAGTTCTCCTTCTACTTAACAGGAGCTTTAATGTGCATTTGAAACTGAAAGCTTTAAAAAACCAAGTCCACATAAATTGTGCCATTAATGCCAGAGATATCCCCTTACGTGTTGCACAGTTTCAGTAGAATCTTACTTTTTTCCTTCCTCCACCCTAATTCAGTCTGTTCTCTTTCTACATCCCAAAACACAGTAGTTAAAATAGTAGTATTCTGAAGTACCGTACATGCAATGTGTGACCACTTTTAACATGTCGGGAGGTTTTGTTTCTTTTCAGTTTTCTATTTGCTAAACAGCAGATGGGTGGGTGTGATTTTTCTTCACGACCTACCAGCAAGAAGGAGGAGGAAAAGTGCTAAACTTGCACAACGAAAGGGGAAGTGGGGAGAAGGATTGTAGCTCAGTGGTATAGCCCCTGCCTTGCAAGCAGAGGGTCCCAGGTTCAACCCCTGACATTCTAGGTAGGCATGGGAATGTCTGAAGAGTTGCTGCCAGTCAGTGTGGCCAATACTGAGCTAGATGGAAAATGGGCCTGAGTTACAGTAGTATAAGGCAGCTTTCATGTACTCAAGTTGCAAAGGAGAAGAGCAAGCATCTTCATTTTTTAAAACAACAACAATAAATTCGGCAAAACTTTTTTTTAAAGGGTTGGGTTTTTTTAATGACACAGACATATGGTATTCCTTTACTCCTGAGGAAGTGCTCATGGCATTCTTACAAACATTTGCCAGAAAGGCATCCAACTGCAGTTCATAAGAGATTTGGTTGAATATTCCCTGTTATGAAATAGTGTGTTCTACGGAGAAGCTTTATTATTATTATTTATTAAATTTATATTCCACCCTTCTTCCTAAAGGAGACCAGATCATGACATTCCCACTGCAGAGAGAGCAATCTTGAAAGAAGTTGTGCAGACAGTACACTATGAGTGAGAAGCAGATGCTCATTTGCTGCACAGTGCATTGATCACATGGGAAGACCCATAGCTCACTAGCTTTCAAACTGTCTTCCAGGGACTTTAGAGTTTCCTGAACTATTATTGGTGGCTCCTCAGGGAGGATAGTGTTACTGGTGAACAAGCTTCCCTAAAAGATAGCTTGCTCACCCTTACCAGTCTTCCCCTACAACGAGCAGCAACAAAAGAGACCTGGGTGCCCTCTAGGGCAAAGTCTTAGCTTTTAGCAAGCCATGGTGAGGCCCAACAGAACTGCTCAGTGACCCATGTCAATTGGGTGTGTATCTTTGAACTGCCCCCCACAACCCTTTTTAACACACAGGGCTTCTGGGTAACTCCTTGGCAGACAATGTGAAAGGGATATCCTCAAATGTACAAATTTCAAAATCCAGTGAATCAGGAAAGTTCCACAGTAAATTTTATTTTAAGCAGATTGGGGGACTGTCTGTCATGTATGATCTAGTTGTGATTCCTGCATTACAGGGGGTTGGACTAGATGACCCTCAAAGTCTGTACAAATTTGTCCAACTGTACAAATCTATTATTCTTCTGGGGGAAGGTTTCAGACCTTTGGTACCACTGTGAGAACCTTTCCCCCCCAAATAAAACCCTCACTTCGAATTCATGATCTTCCTCATAATGATATGTAGGGACCCCTGTTTTAAAAGTCAGTTCCACTGGGCACAGAGCATCAACTTTTATTTTTCTTTTTTTCCATTCAACATCTATGCCTGAAGAAGAGATCTGTGTAATTCAAAGCAGGGCCAGTTCCAGGATTTTGAATATTAGCTAGTCCAAAAAGAAAGCTATCACTTCATTTTTTTTCTGAAAGGGATTCTCTCTCTCCTCTTTTCCCAGTCCTGAATTACAGGAGTATTATAAACCCCACTGATATGTCTAAGCTGCAAGATAATCTTTTTGAAGTGGTCACTTCCTTGCCTCCCTAGACCTCTGTGTACCAACCAAGGCAGGGACAGAGTCCCAGTTCTGAACACAAAAGGTGCATTTTCTCTTGGAATACAAGGCAAGGTGGAGGTGGTGTCTGCTGATAAGGGAGGATTTCCCTGCTCAAATTTCAAAAGACTCTTACTAAGAAAAAGAAGAGAGGGAGGGGGTAGAAATCCATTTAAACTCTTGAATAACCACCGCCTGAGTCTGAAAAGCAAGCGGAGACGCACGGTCTCTTTCAAACCCTGACCTTTCAAAGGTTTGCAGTAACTGGGATAAAAGGTGTGGTGGAGACAGAGCCGGTCTCTCGGCGTCCAGGAATTCTAACACGGACAAGGCTGCACGCACGACCTCTGATTCAACTCGGTCAGCTGGCAAGCTTTAAATGAGGCCTTATTCAGTGCCACATTGAGATTAAAATAAAATAAAATATTACTATATTCCTCTCGTTATAATTATTCCTCATTTCTGGGGGGAGAAATCTGAAAAGACTTAGAAAAGCACTAAAAACAAAACCAAAAAACCCTTCAAGACAAATTTATCCAAAGGGTCCAACAGGATATCGCTGTAATAAATAAACATAGTTTTGATAGAACACTGCTGTATGTCTGGCTACATACACATCATCACTCTGAAGTGCGCAAACTCAAATGACTATTCATAGAACTGTCCAAGCTAAAGGTTCTTAGGAACCTAGGAAGCTGATCTATCCATAGTCATTGCATCTACACAGGCTAGCAATGGCTCGCCTGGGTTTTAGGCAGGGGACACTTCCAGTCCTATCAGGAGATGTCGGACACTGAACCTGAGATTTCGGCACACAAAGCATCTGCTTTCCCTTCTGGTTTTGCGAATCACTGGAAGAGGAAATGAAGAACACTGGGAAGCAAAGTCCTACCCTCAATCAATGGAAAACTCACCCCCTGAATTGAGCAGGCATTTTTGAAGAAGTATCTACAATCTTAAAGGCTAAAAGCCTTGTCTTTTTTAAAAAAGAAAAAAAAAGAAAAGAAAATAATGAAAGGCAAGATTCCCAGTAAGAGGAATTATGTGTGCAAAAATGTAGTATATGCGCCCACAACACTGTGGCTTAGACAAGTGGTTTCAACATTGTCAAGTTTACCAGTGCATGTTGAAAAAGGCAAAAGGCTACCACCCACTGCCCAAGTCAGAACAGATTAAACTTCTGAGCACAGCAATGGGGTTCTTTAAACACTCCATCAGGACTTATTTAAAGAATTGTGTTTACAGAATGTACACCCCTGCTCAATTGCAAAAGGTTTCCCCACCACCAGCAATGGATTGAGTAAAGATGCTGGCTATTTCTTGCTACGCTCAGCCTTTACAACTGGGGCAAACTTTGACATGCCGACTTTTGACTCTGCAAGTAGTGTTTAGAACTCTCCCTGCTTTGGTGAAATATTTATTATTAATAATATGAAAGATTTATTATTTGTTTCCAGCAGAGTCCAGAAAGCACATGTGGTACTTTCCAGACATAAAAGATGGCTAGGCTCCTTCTCCCAATGGGAAGCTAACCGACAAAAGCAGGGCAATCAGCATGAGCCACCAAATCTTCTAGCACAGTTCTTTGGGGGTGGGGTGGGGAGAATCTTTGCTTGCTTTGCAGGGGCTCGGGAACCAAAATGTATAGGACTACCCAGGAACCAATACTGCCTGGTTCTGGTTTCAGGAGGGAAAAGGTTGTTTTAACCCTTCCTGATTTATAAGGAAGAACCATAGCTCCATAGTGGAGCATCTGCTTTGTATGTGGAAGGTCCCAGGCTCCTTGACACCTTCAGATAGGTCTGGGAGTGCCCACTGCCTGAAACGTAAGAACCTAAAAAGAGCCTGCCAGATCAAGCCAATGGTCCATTTCGTCCAGCATCCTGTTTTCACAGTAGCCAAGCAGATGCCTCTATTGATAAACCCGCAAGCAGCATCTGAGCACAAGAGCCCTCTTCCCTCCTGCAGTTTCCAGCAGCTGGAATTCAGAAGCATTACTGTCTCACACCTAAGAAATTAGGCCTTTAATTATTATTTTTTAATATACTTTATTTGACAAGCAACATTAACTTACATGACAGGCCTTTAAATGTTTGAGATGACAGATCCTATTTGAAGACTTGAGAGCTGCTGCCAGTCAGTATAGGCAATACTGAGCTGGGCATGCCAATGGCCTGACTCGGTATAAGGCAACTTTCTGGATTCCTAAGATTCAATAGCATACATCCAAGGGAAAGACGGGGAGATGCAGACTGTAGTGTCCTCCTCTTCACAAATGGCTTCTCATTTGTTGAGCTTTCCAACCGGCTAATGTATCCTCTCACTTCATTTCTACCATCCATCTTGAACAATCCTAATGGAGCTCCTAAATGCTGACACTTTGGGGGGAAGAGTCTAAAATCTCTAACCTCTCACACCAGCCTGTGGGGGGAAGATGGCTAAGGGTGAACACTTAGAACTTCACCTAACAAGGGGAGGCTCATTAGTCTTTGCCCTGCACAAAACTGGTGGACAAAGTCTGTATATTTGTCCTTAAGAGGGTGGAGAACAGTATTGGAATGTAATAGGAAACACTCCACTGGGAGCTTGACTGTGTTGGTGGGAGGGACAAATAAGGAAGTGTTTCTTCGCACAACTTGTCGATTCAGAAGGAATTTCATTATCACAAAATGCAATGAGGGCTGTTAGCTTGAAATGGCTTGTTTTAAAGGATGAGACAAAGTACATGAAAGAGAGAACTATCAACAACTGTCAGCAGTGGTTGCTAAAGAGAACCTCCAAGTACAGACAGCGTTAACTCTGAATACCAGGTGCTGGGGACAAAATGGTAAGAGAAAGCCTTCACCCTTTACTTCTGAGCACCCCCTGGCGTGATCAGACAATCCCATTCTTGTGTTCTTCGCTAATCAGGACAGTGCTCACCTGCTGCTCCTAGCCAGGACAAGCCCGTCATTCCATTCACCTACCGCTACTGACCATTGCTAGTGTTGATGTTCCTAAAAAGTCCCACTGTCATCTCCACTATTTCTCAGGGGCCTCCAAGGCCTGTTTTCGAAATATGACAGGCCATTTGCATCCCAGCTGCTTGTTATTACACAAACCTCATAAAGCAAAGAATTTGGTACCCTAGTTTTGCCAACCCCATCTTCCCTCCCAATTCCTTTTTCCTTTTGTGTCATACCATGAGGGAAGGGGCTGTGCTGTTTTTACCGTATTTTTTGCTCTATAAGACTCACTTTTTCTCTCCTAAAAAGTAAGGGGAAATGTGTATGCGTCTTATGGAGTGGATGCAGGCTGTGCAGCTATCCCAGAAGCCAGAACAGCAAGAGGGATTGCTGCTTTCACTGCGCAGCGATCCCTCTTGCTGTTCTGGCTTCTGGGATTCAGAATATTTTGTTTCTTATTTTCCTCCTCCAAAAACTAGGTGCGTCTTATGGTCTGGTGCGTCTTATAGAGCGAAAAATACGGTAATCAAACTTTAAACCGCTATGGGGGCCTTTTCTGCTGAGGTGAGATGCTTTAAAACAAATACTAAGACTATGCTGCATCAGA